ATTATTTTCTATCCAATAAAAATAAATAAATTACATATTGGTGCACTCTTTTCAGGTTTATGAAATTCAACAACCGAATCCTGCGTAAGATCCTGATCAAAGACAGCCGTGCAGAGTCCAGTATTGTGGCGCTGTACAAGAAGCTGGAGCTGCAGAACGCCATGGAGATCCTGGACACGGTGTCGGGCGACATCAGCGCTGCTCCGTCCATCGTCTCGCTCTAGTATGAAACCTTCATCGTGCCTCTGTGCTACTCTTACTATCTCATCACCTCCTTATTATTATTACTTAATATACATGTTTCTCTCTGATTTTTAGTGAGGAAAAGAAAAGCTCTGCTAAACCAAAGAAGAAGTTCCTGGCTTCAGATCTGAAGAACATGCATGACATCCTGTCCAAGAACATGTACAAGATCAGGCAACGGGTGAGTTTAGCACCACATTGGTGGAAAGTGACGAAGTACATTTACAAGAGTGCTGCACAATCTATTTGAATAGTCCTCAACATTTTTGGATTGTGACACCTTATAAAAAATTATGTCCACTCTGGGGTCTGTAGCCCATGAGTTGTTAGCTGTTCCACCAGAGAGACGTTTCCCTCCTTAACTTCTCAGTTTAATTTCAAATATTTTTACATTTTGCTCAAAATCAATCCAACTCTTCAAATTTGTGGAAATCAGTTCCACTTTGGTTTTTATATTAATGTTAAAGTTTCAAGACGTAAAGATTTTTTTTACATAAAATTCAGTTGTCCCTGTTTGTTGGATAAATCTGTCTGTAATCAGTAAAGCATTGTCATACTCGTTCTGCAGAAAACTGAAGTGATCGTAGATTTTGGGCGGTGCTCTCCTCTCTGGTGTGATTCTTCCACACACTGAAACTGGCTGCTGTTTTGCATGACCACAGACTGTGTGGCCGTCAGTACTTTTCCATTAGTGACATGACTTCACTGGAGAGGCTCTGAGAGACACTTTGATGTGCAGATAAATGGAGAGCATGTGTCTTCTGTTCTCGGTCAGACGACTTGTCTGATTATCTTAACGGCCCCTCTTTCCAAGTCTCCCTCCTCTGTGCTCTCACACAAACTCTGAGTCACTTCAGTCTGTGATGTTGTTTGTTTTTCACGGGAGCCGTTTTTTGCGAACTGCTTGCTTTTCTTATTTTGAATTGTTTCCTGTTCTCTGACCATTCTGAAATCCTTTTGTTGCCATGTTCTAAAGAACTGTGGCGGAGTGTTTGAAAGGCGTTCGTGTTTGTTTAAGGTCTATATTATAAGAACTGTGTTGACAGTGACGAGTAAAAGTCTATACAGAGACACAGACCCCTGCTGCCAAAACAGGTGTGGCCAGTATTGGTTGAGTAATCTGATCCTTAAAGAATGCAGTCTCCTGTAAAAGCATCTCGCTGTTTGTCTCCACCTTTATCGTCACTGTCAGGAGGTGTTACTCACCTTTACTGTGGTCGCTTGTAGTTTCGTACGTTTATCATACATCGACATGAAAAATGGCAGAATGGCATCCATCAGAGGCCTGTGATGTGTGTAACGTTGTACCTCTTTGTGTTGTCTTTGTGCAGACGGTGGCGTACACGGGTAAGCACGCCCTGCCCAATGACAGCCACAGCAGAGAGATTCTGATCAGACGCCACGCCAGCATCCGTCGCAGCCTCCGACCCCAAAGCTTTCAGACATCGGTAAGAAAGAAGCTCTGTTACTGTGTTTGAAACTGAATCTTTCTACACATGCTCTCAGTCTCTCAATTAAAAGTAGATAATATTGAACCTCATAAGAAGCAGGTAAATTAACTCTTGACAACACTAAGATGAAAGTGTTTTCACAGTTTTAATGCCGTATTCATTATTCTCCTTTCCCGTCTTCTTCTCTAATCTGCTGTTTCGTTCTCAGGCGGTGCCCAAGTCTCATAAGTATTTCTCTCTTCCTGCTGGGAAGAGTCTGGACTCAAAGTTATTTCCTCCAGAGAGACTGAGCTTCACAGGTAAAGCTTCTCAAACCAACTGTAAACCCCTAACATCCGGATTCCCCTATTTATTTTCTTCTTTAATAGATTAAAGGTTTGAAACACTGCAAATCGATAGAAATACTGTATTCTCTGTGATGAAATATTTAAAATTCACTTGGGTCAGTCAGTCTGACGCCTGAATTAGCTCAACATCTAGTGGACAGATTACCATGAAAATATCTGCACACATGAATTAAGAACAAGCTCGATGAATTTGGGAATCCAGTAACTTTTCCTCTCACGCCCCCATGAGCTTAAAATGTGTAGTTCAGAGATTTGACAAACATGTTGGAGTTTTATAGCCATGCTGAAGAAATCAAATTTGGATATTTTGTGAATAATGTCAATGTGAGAGTAAGGTCGTAATAATAATAAAATCTCTCTTCCGATTATTTTATGACTTTATTCTTGAAACAAATGTTAGGATCTGAAACTGGTAAGTATGTTGATAAACATTGAACTTGACTATTAGCATTTAGCTCTTTAGCTGTGGATTAATGTCGGCAGCATGGCATCTAATGTAATTATTGTCTTGTGGATCATCTTCCTAAATTCAGCCTCTTAGGGAATTCTTTGATTTTTTTTTTGTTGGTTTTAAAACAGTTTGGCTCCACAGTGTGAGTCTTTATGGTTACACTCTCTGCCCACATGCATTTCCTCCTTTTATGGAGCTGTGTAAAACAGTGAGTAGTCATGGGATGATTCAGAATCGTTAAAAAAAGTATTTTCTCTCAGATGATCAGGAGACCATGTCAGAAGTGGCCTACCCTTCCCGGCGCTCTCGGTTTGGCCAGCCTGCACGCTCCTCCTCCAGAGCCATGATGCCTCTACGAAGGCTGGACACCCTAAAAGAAGTTCCCTCTCTTGACGTTCTGAACGAGGGCAGAAGGGAGAGCGGCGGGAAGGGGCGTGGCATGTCCAGAACAAACTCCTCCTACAGTGAGTCCCATGTGCCCGCTCCTCGCCGTCACTTCAACGCTTCTGCTGACAATAACAACGGCTCAGCTGATGACTTTAGAAATGTGCATCAGGAAGAAGAAGAGGAAGAACAGGAGCAGCCTTCCTCTCCGCCTCCGGGCTGGGTGGCTGAACGTAGTGACAACTCAACGACACAAAACCCTCTGCTCAGGCGGCCTCAGTGGAACCCGAGGAAGTAAAAATGCTCCTGGGCTTTTAGCGGCAGCTGGACTGCAACCGACTGAGTGTCAGGCTCCCAAGCAGCTCCAGGGAATCTATATATAAATGTGTGTTCATGGTGTCTAAAGGCCCAATAAGTTAGTGGTGGAGATTCATTCATGTCTTGGAGAACCACCCTTCAAAAAGAGCCAAAATGGACAACAGTCAGTGGCACAGTGCACTATAGTGAAGAGCTGAGTCATATTTCAACAAGTGACTTTTAAACACTTATCTTCCTGTAAGATGTTTTTTATGTTTAAAGGTGACTGTAACTTAAACTGTTTTATTGTGACTAATTATTTCTCTGCTCTTTGTAAATATTGGTCTTTTTGTATTTTTACTGTCAACAGCTGTATGATTGAAGATACACATTTTCTTGTAATAAACTTTTCATTCTGGTTAAACCATGAATATAATTTAAGAAATGTGAATGGCACCAACAGAAGAGGAGATGGGAAGTGTGGACATGATATAGTTGAATATTAATAAGTACACAAGCTGCATTTACTTTTAAAGGAGAACTAAAGCTAAAGCCCAGTCAGCTCTGGTTGGCCAGCTGGCCTACTCTTGTGATTGGTCAACCATTTCTCTTGAATTACTGGGCTTTGTTAGGATGTGTATGAGGCTAGCCGCTAGGCGTGCCTTATGCAAATGTAGGGAATTGTGACATCACGATGGTGCAGAAGTTTAGGTCGGACTACTGACGATGTGTTTCAGGAGCTTCAGGAGCAGCGTTTTCCCCCTTTACACACAAAAAAACTATACAAGTGATGAAAGATACTAAAAAAGCATTATATGTCTCCTTCAATGTTTCATGTAGAATTCAAAACATAATTGACTCAAACATAGAAAACACTTTTTATTCATTGTGACATTTCATACAAGATTTATTGTCTATAACATGAGCTTACACCATTTTCTTCTTTTTAAACAGTAATTCGATTTTTAAAGAAAACTGGTGCCTGGAAAACTGAGCTTAGTTCTTTATAGGTCCATTTGAACGTATTTTACAATAAAGTAACAAATCTTTGTAACTGTGAAATTTAACAGTCAAAGACTAGAGCACACATTTGCTCATATACCACCGTGGGAACCATTTAAGTTGCAGTGCATTAGAAGAAACATTGAGGTAAAAATGTGTAAAACCAACTTGGGGACTCCTTAAGTACAACAAAGTGATATATCAATTTATCAACCTCCAACAAGGAGGTTGTGTTTTCATCTGTTTGTTTGTTTGTCAGCAGGATCACTGGACGGATTGCCACTTAACTTGGTGGAAGGATGCAAAATGTGTCAAGAAAGATCCAGGTATTTTTTTCACTTTCTTTAAAATGTGTGTTTTTCAATATTTTGGTTGATTTCTCAGAAAAAAAAAAGATCTTGATGGGGGGAAAAATGAGGGTGTCTAGGGAATTTATATTTTCGAGTGTGTATAATTTGGTTAAACAGTAAAAGTTCTTTAGGTGTTTGGTGTTTCATCAGCAGACCTTAACACTTTAGGGATTTTGGACAAAGTAGTGGTTACAAACATACAGTAGAAATCAAAGGCCATATATGTGTTATGAATCCTTTCTCCCAAAAAGTAGGACAGCACTGCTGGTGGTGACAAACCATTTTGACTCAGAAATCTGTCTGCAAAAGGCCAAACTATCAAGAAACATGCTTGAGTGGGACACATGGATCCCACTACTAGTCCTTCACAACTGGCCTCTCACTAGTAAGTGCACTTCTTTGGCTGGTGAATGTGCCTTTTAAATGTTTTAAGTTACTCAGATTTTCCGAGTTTGGCTGTTTTGGTCATTCCTCTCCCGTCCCACTTTGGGATCCTGATGAGCAGTAAACCTACAGCTGCAAGAGCCAGGACCACTCCGAGACTCGGGGGACCACAGGGGCTGAACTCCTGAGCGAGACCCGAAAGAAGGGGAGCCAAGACGCGACCGACAGCTGTAACCGACTGCCCGGCACCAATCAGAGTCCCACTGGCCTGGACCCCTCCCCTCTGCAGCTCTAGGTCTGTGATGCACGTCCGTCCAATGCTGGTGGAAATGGCGAAGAAGGTGGAGGAGAGAACCACCTGCCAAACGTTGGGCGCGGCAGCATAGAGGAAGATAAGTGAGCAGGTGAGCACCGTGGAGTGAAGCAGCAGAGCAGCCATGTTGTTCCTGTAGAGCTGAGTGACGGGCCCCACCAGGAACCCGGCCAAGGCCCCCAAGGTGCTGCTGTAGCTGATCAGATAACCTGTCATCTTTGGTTTGAGCGAGAAACGCTCCTCCATGGCCAGAGAGAAGTTACTGTAGTAAAGCATGATAGCTATGCCCATCAGAAGACGCACCAGAAAGAGGTCCCACATGTCAGAGGAGGCGACCATTTTTATCCTGGAGCCCACTAACGACAGCTGTCTCCAAACAGGCTGCAGCAGAGACACCTCGCTCCACCGGAGACCACCTTGGTGCTTCCCTGGAGCTGTGGAGTCTGGTTGAGCGTCTCCTGCCGGCAGCGTGTGGTGTCCTTTTGCATGAGAACCATTCTGCACAGATTTCCAACAGTGGTCGTCATGACAACGTTTACTCAAATCATTGCTGGAGTTTGTGTTACGGTGAACCAGGGTCTCGTTCCACGGCAGCATCCAAACCAGTCCTGGAGCGATAAACACATTTTATCACATAAAAATGTAATTTCTCTTTTCTATTAAATCAGTTACTGCTCTCCATTTTCAACCCACCTGCATTCATGAGGAAGATGGCTGCACAGGTGAAGGAGGAGGTATAAAAGCCCCCTTCATGCTCAGTGAGGTAGCCACCCACCACAGGTCCCAGGATGAAGCCGACACTGGAGGCTGCATTAAAGTGTCCCATCACCAGAGGGCGCTCTGACTCAGACACCAGGTCAGAGAGCAGTGCTCTGCAGATTGACAGGGAGTGCTTGAACAGTCCTGAGACACACAACAGAGGGGGAGTAAGAACCTGTTTGATTTCCTGCACAGACTTCGGGTTCAAGATATTTTAAAGGAAGTGATTGTTGTGTATTCATGGTTTATTCTTCCCTGCAGGCTGTAGGAAACAGCTGTTGAAATATGTTATAAAGGTTATTTTATTAGATGCACTGGTATCAGTACTCAGCCAATAATAGTAATGGTATCTGTCATTTGAATTTCTGCAGCTTGTGTGAACTTTGAAGAAGCCTCATGTTTTCTGACATGTGGTCCAACTCACCCACAGGTATCCGTGCGAGGACAAACAAAGGGATGCTGGTGGACATCCCCAGCAGGCCATAGCCGAGAGCACTCAGCAGCAGACAGGTGAGCAGAGAGTACCTCCGTCCCACCACGTCACTCCAGCTGCCCTGCCACACGCGCACAAGGAATGACACATAACCACAAACTGAACTAAATATTTTCCAGGACATTCAGAGAACAGTTTAAGGATATTTCTACAATCATCTGGAGAAAAGTACAAATTTGACTTTTGACACAATAGATATTTTCTTTGAGCCTGACTTAAACATCCCAAAACCGAGCAGCCAAGGATGTTATACAAGCCTTTATTGGATTATCACCCCCTCTTTGGCTCTCACTCACTCGAAATAATAAAATTAGGACCAATTGAGTTTACTGTGTTCTGTACATAATCGGGTGGGCTTATCATAGAGACCAAGCTGTTCCTGTATCTGTACATTTATCGTGATTCAGCTGCTCTGCACAAGGGAATCGACAGATGACTCCTTATCCGTTTAATTTGTCGCATGACCCCTGAGAATGGCCAATTTCAGGGCTGTGGGCGGCAGCAGAAAGACGTGGAGAGCGGAGACTCTTACATCAAATGCCTCGCTCGTGGCAGAGTGGTTGTGCATGTTTGAGTTACTTCCTGACAGCTTGTTTATGGTTTATGATTTTTCAGCGCACCATGCTGGACGTTAAGTCTGCCTGCGTGTGTGTGAACATGCAAAGTAACTGGATATGTTGTGTGACCACAATTGTCTTAAAACGACCAGTGTTTATTGTTTTCATGAAATACCAGAGATGACATTGAATTCCACCATTTTGGCCACTGGCTGTGAGCATGCCTTGTCAAGCAGCAGAGACTGGACAGACAGTTAGAGACAAAGACAGAAAGAGGGAAACCACGTCAATACTTACAACTATTGTGCTTGAGAAGAACTGTAAGATCCCATATGTAGACACTGCAACAGTTTCACATTTATTTGAATTCATGTTAGAAAGTAGTCACAGAGCATCATGTCTTTAAAACATATGAGCCTATAGTGATTATGCTTTTGTAAATGTATAACATGAGATTCAGTATTAACTGCTTATACAATAAGGCAAACCCAGTGACTGTAAATAAAGAAACTAAACTAATTACAAACATAACTTATCAGAAACTATGAACAATCATCAGTGTGATAACAACTACCTAAAATGATGGAAAGCATCTAAAAAAATTAATAATTTCATTCCATGTCCCATCCAGGTTTATGACCTATACTGCAGTCAGCCCCCAGGTGGAGATCAAGACGCTATGGCTTCACTTTTTGGGGAGCTGTCATGCATCTTAACGTGTAGAGTCTTAAATCATATTTCATATCATCATTGTATGTTAATCGTTTACATTTTAAAATGAGAGCATGAGTTATAAAATATGAATTAGAGTTTCTTAAATGACATGTTCAATTTCTTGTTTCATGTCCCACTGAAACTCTCTCTCTCATCTCTCACTGCAGCTTGAGCAACACATAAGTAGACGAAAGCACTGGCAAATTGAAAAACACAACGATCACTCTCCACAGTTCTGTTTTGTTCTGTGCAACAAACACTGTTTCTGTATTTGCCTGTGTTTTCTGTATCCAGTTCATTCATTAATTAGTTAGCTGATTTTATTGGAAATGTGTTGTGATGTATCTCATCCTCAGATGAGCAGATCAATCCTTGGTTGTAAAACCTGTTTTCCAGGCTGCAAACTGATTTTGCATTAATAATTAGGATGCAACAAAGGAACCTATATCTGCTGCTACAGAAGCTGAATAAAATATTTGTTTGTATTAGACACACCTTACCTACTATACCGGCCACAGTGGGACTGGCTCCAAGAGCCTTCACGTGGTGGCTCAGCAGCGGGATGATCATGCTCACCCCAAACAAGTCCTGAGAAAGAGTGAGGAGGTGAAGGGGAGAGAATAAAACCAGATACATCAAACTGATATTCACAGTAGAAACCTGTACATCACACAGACAATATAAAACCAGCGCTGAGTGTTCATCACAGAGAGTCTGGACAAAGTTATGAAAGTCCAACAAAGCTGTTCATCCTGTTTATCTGCATTGCTCAAAAGAAGCTTGATTCAAGTCACACAGCAATTCCTTCAGTGTCCCACCAGTGTCCAACCTATTACACTAATTGCTTAACTTTCAGTAGCATTACTGTGCCGGCCGACATTTTCTGTCTTCTCCTGTGCATGAATGTGAGCTGCACCGGATCTTTAACACATTTATTTCAACCACACAGGCTAAATGTGAAGTTAAATCTGTGAAAAATGACTTGGGTTCTCACTATTATACTTTCTTTTAAAAATATGTACAACTGCCAAATGATTGATTAACATAACTTTTGTCATGGGGATCATGTCCTTGTTTTCAAGTAAGGACTAGTCCTCTGCAACATGTTTTTCTATCAGTGAAGCTTTGAAGAGGCACACCTCAATACACAGGTGTCAAAACAACCTGCCATTTCCATCCTGCCACCCTAATGCTGCACCTGAAGATACAATTCAAAATAACCAAACACACCAAATCTGTGTGTAAATAACATACATTAATTTTGATTTATAAGTGTTTAACTTGTATAATTTAGTCTATGTCAATAATCATCTATCCTGAGTTAGCTTGGCCACATACAGTTCCATCATATTTTTTCAATTTACAAAGAATGTTTTATAATCCTTTAACTGTATCTCTGCAGGAGACTATTTAAACCACAATTGACAAAAGTGTTTTACTTTTTTTCCAATTCTATCTGCAGGTGATTCTGACATTAGATTTGTGTCAGATTTGTTCATTTTCTTGACGAAGAAACTTTTACATTTTACTGCTGAAGACGTGTTGAATGTTGAAAGAAGATGAGCAAGTTGCAATTAAGACTTCATACATTTAAATTTAGTACAATAACATATTTATTAGTATTTAAATACTTTTAAAGACCCGATTTACCTGAATTAACTTCTCTCTCAGTGAGAATGTTTAGAAAATTATATTAAAAATATATTTTAAAAAACTATTATTTGTATATAATAAGACTTTTAACATGTAACTGGCTTCATCATGACCATTGTACTCAGATTCCAGGGTGCTTTTCTGATTCCAATGCAGACAGGCTGGAACTCCTGGAGGAGTATTTACTGTATCCACATGAAACCTGTGAGAGCATGAGGCTGCGGTGCGGACCAGCTGACAGCTACTCACCAGGAAGCCCACCACACAGATGCATTGTTGGGTCCTCGTCCTTCCTGCGGGTCGGAGACATGAAGGACGACATGTCAGCTCGTTCATCCTCCAGCTGTGACGGTGCAGCGGCTGCTGCCAAAGCGCAGCGGCTCTTCTGCTCCACTCAACCAACGCGTCTCCGTCCCGGCCGGGCGGGGGTCTCACGGGCAGGGAAGAGCTGCCGGCTTTGGACCCTCTGCTCGGATGTGCCCGCTGTGAACGGTGGTAGATTTGAAACACAAGTGTAAAACCCGAGTCCGTCCATTAATGTCGCTGTACAAGTCGCGGTTCATCTTTGTCCCGGGTTGAATCGTCGCGTTGCTCGCGCTGACTCCCCCCGCGGCGGCTCCCACAGATGGACTCTTCCACTGACGTCACAGGAATGAATCCCGGAAATTGTCATCCATGAAGAAAAAGAAAAATGTTCAATGGAGGAGAAACATGAAAAGTTTTTATTGAGCTTATGAAGACTTAAAGACCTCTAATGGAACAAAAAAAATACTATGATTTCATTATTGAACATGTATTTAATTAATTAATTAATTAATTTTCTATTATGGTTTTAATAATTGTTATTTTATGTCATTCTCTTTGTGCATAATGTGATTTGTTATGTATGATTTGTCAATGCCCTGATGTTTGTACATTTCAAGTTTTCAATACAAAAAACGTTTTGTAGAGATTACTTGAAATCTGGAAAGTTTTGATTCTATAAAAAATGATAAATCTTGTTGTATATTTGTTTTTATTTCAATGCTTGATTCTGTTTATACATATGTACAATGTCTTATTAAATGTGTTATCAACACTTGTAACTGGTACAGTTGTTTAATTGACAATTACAAAATAAACAGAAAAACATTTACGTCAGGCTCACTGCCATGATAAAGATGAATGAATTAAACAAATAGAAACAAAGCAAACAACTAAATGACAATTGTCAATCACACCATCCATCCTTTTCATAAACAATACTGGTGAAGACATATTCGCCTTTGACTGTGTGGAGCAACTGAGTCACTCTGTCACCACCTGCTGGACAAACTGTCCAAAACATTACAAACAACACAACACTCAAATTAATTCAAGGAGTTTTTTAAATTTTTTACTGGCAGCAGTACTCAAATATCAGTATATTTCTATGAGCTAGGAAATCTCTTTATCACAAAGATCCGAAAAGTCACGAAGTAACACATTATTGTTGAGTTGTCTCCAGAGTTTGGTGGTTGTTTCAGTTCTTGAGCTTATACGTTCAAATACAGTTTATAATAATCCAAATACATGAACCATAAACATATCTGTCATAATTTGCATAATTGCATATACTAGTTTTTATGCCATTCATATTCATTTATATTTTGTATATTACACTTAAGTAGTGCATTCATATTATTACTTACTGTTGCCTATTTTGACTCTTGCTACTGTAATATTGCAAAGTTCTCCCCATTGTAGGAATAATAAAGGTATATCTGAAACTGAAAACTAACCAGTCTCACCAGCAGCTGCTTACATGAAGGCCAGGAAAGAGATGCTCAATTTATCAAAATGGAACTCAGACTGTTGGTATAGAACACCCACACACCCACACACCCACACACCCACACAACCACACACCCACACACCCACACACATACACACACACACAGGCCTGGGTCACATCAGTGTGTAAATTGGCCAGTGTCTACATTTAGGTTCACTGCTAAATGTTCCCCTTAGATGCTAATAAACCAGAGTTTTCTCCACCTCACTTTGACATGTATACTACAAAATAAGTTTTTAATCCTGTTTCTACTTTAGTACATAATTTAACGGTCACCAGAATAAGATTCAGGTTACTACTTTTTCAGAGAAGGTTTAAACCATTTCTGTTTTGTCAAGTCGTGTGGCCGTTTGTTTATGTTAAGCTTCTTTCTTTTCTGTGTGCATTAGTGTCACTGTAGTGTCACTTGTATTCACTTCTTTTATTCAGAGCACGTTTGCAGATCGTTTTATAATATTGATCAATTTACTTCTATTTTGATGTTCAGCCCTTTGTATAAATTCAATTTAGATTTATTTGACATAGCACTATTTCCCAGAGCAAAGTCACTGTCATAATGTGCCTCTCATAAATAAAATAACGCCAGTAAATAATAGATATATACAGTAAAAGACAATGCAAACAGAAGCATAATAAAAATGCATGGTTTCAAAACTATAAAGCACAAGGTGAGACAAAGGCTGATTTGAATAAATGGGTTTTCAGTTTATAGGCTAAAACAGATGCTGCAGAATGAAGTTGGTAGAAAGACAATTCCATAAAGTTGGAGCCATAACTTTAAATCCACTGACACCTTTTAGTTTTTAGACAAGCACATGGGATGACCACTACCTTCATTTTCGGTATTTTGTTTCATGTAATTTATGTTGCATATCTGTAAAATCACTTAAATGTGTATACTGGTATTTAGTTTAACATTTATAAAACTCATTTTGATAATTATTTCAAATAAACTGGCATCTGATACAAATAGAATTGATGCAGAAAAGGATCTTTTGCACTAAATTCACCCCCACCTTCAGGAAATGGTACATGGTGTGTGTCTGTTTATGAGTATGTTGTGCTGGTGGGGCAGAAGCTTTGGTGCAGGGCTACACCTCGTTTCTGTCCGTTCAGTCTCACCCTGGCTTGACATTCCCGTACAGATGCCGGGTGTCCAGTTGCCACAGGTTATTTCTGTGATGATCCCCCTTTCCTTCACACGCTCAGCCCCAAGCAGCCGCCCTCAATCAGACCCCCAAAATAGCCCAGGGCTGTTGGGTGTGGGTGGTATGGCTGCAGACCCCAGAGGAGGGTACAGTGCAGAGGAGACATGTGCATAACTTTGTCTTCCCATAACACAGACAGGAGGGACAGGAGAGGAGTCAAGATCCTGTGACCCCACCACCCTATCTCACTCAGTGGATACCACAGTGCAAGAGGAGTGGCTGTTTCTGCCTCTGCTTGTCACATGCGCTCACTGTAGTCGGAGGGGAAAGTCATACTGAGTGTGGGCCTCCAGTCGTCGAGTAGCTGGTCAATCTTGGACCATGAAGCTGAGCGTGGCGTTGTTTTTTGCGGGCCTCTTCGGGGCGCTGGCAGCCGTGTTCATTCTCCTCTCTTTTGGAACTGATTACTGGCTGCTTGCCTCAGAGAGCTGCCACCCAAATCCTGAAGGCACCGTTGGGCCTGTTGGTGTGACTATAGAGGTGGGTGTCAGAAGATAGTCAGATATCATTTATTGAATCTACTCTGCATATTTGGTGTCATATTATTTGTAGGCTGAAAAATGTTCATATTAGTCACTTGGGGAGATAAAATGAGGTCAGTTGTTGCTTCTATAAAACCACAGACAAATCAAGCTCAGTAAATTTGTTTTGAGGTATTAAAGCTGTATTTACTTTCTTAAATGTTATATTTTGGCCCTTAAACTACAATTAACGCTGCTTCTCCTATTTCAGAGATTGTGATCAGTTGCCTCAATCATTCCCAGTAAACTGCAGAGGAGTGAGGCATCCGCGCAGGGATGTATCATGTAATCAGACACTGTTTAATGTACTGTGTGTGCAGCTTTGCAGTGACAGAGCCATAGCTTGGGCCCCGATGATAGAAATACAAATACCAGTGGGGACCACTGGTATGATACATGTATTAAATATCACCGACAAGGACACATGACTTTATTGTGGGCTCAGATAATTCTGGAATTGAGACATGACACCATCACAATAAAACTAAAGTGGGCCTTGGTATGTACACTACATAGTAAAGCAACGTGACTTCAGTTTAATCAATTCTAAAGTATTATTTTTAGAGCTTAATTATTACAGGATCCAGTCAGAACACTGTTAAATTCATTGATCGGACAGTTCAGTAGGGTTGTTGGCTTCTTATAGGTTTGTGCTGCTCCTCAGCTTCTGGCGTGTTTGATATGATGGTCACATGCTTGGTATGATGGTTAATATTAGCCTGTAGAAGAAATGTGCGTTGGGAATCTGTCCAATCACATTCTTCTTTTGGGGAAGTCCTGACCCCCTAGGGTTGGAAGCCAATGTTCTTAAGCATAGATTGGAGTCGTCATCAGGGGCGGAGTGAAACAACAATTCAGGCCATCCTGGGACACCGTGTTCATGCAAACCACCATGCTGCTAACTTTGTCTGTTGATGAAACAGCTAACAGACTTGTCATACGTTTGACCACTGTCTTCATCTGGGAGGAAAGATCTCTATAACTTTTATAAAATAGAAGCGTGGGACCAACAAGGTCTTCTGACCCCTGCACACCCTGTAATAACCTTGACTTGGCTAATTTACGTCATGCAGGTCTCAAAATTCTCTGAGTGGTATGTTATGGATGATGAAACAGGCACTCAAGGACGTCTGTTTTTGCTTACATGCAAAAATAATGACCACCAATGATGAGGGTTTCCTGAACGGGAACATCCCCTACCTGCACACCCGCACGGCACCAAACCAGACTAAGGTCAGAGCTGCCGACTCAGCTCAACCCTTTGACCTGGATCAGCAGCTGCTCCTTCCCACTGTGGCTCCACACTCACCACCTGCCTAATAAGCTCTAGAGACTTTAAAATTACATTGACAGATAGCATTGTTGTACAGTGCATCCACAAATATTAATATGTCAATATTCTGTCTTATCATCTTCCTCCCAGCGTGGAGATGTGATGTTGCAGGAGGATCATAAGGATGTAACTCTGTACCATGAGGGCTTCTTCTGGAAGTGTTCCTTTGGAGGCAACACAGATGATGACGACCTGCTGTGGAAACTCTGGTTCAGTAAGTGAAACACATGACATTAATAGTTAAAGCTTGTGTTGACATTATCTTTATTTTTCATGGATGTTATAAAAACCCAGTAAAAAAAAGTAATGTTGTGGTAAAATCTTTTGAAAAAAGTGACAAATTACTGAAATAACCGTTAACTGAGGCCATGATTCCTATAGTTTGCCTTCAATTCATGTTTAACTCACAAACCACCTTGTAACTGTGTTTTTAAAGGTGCTACATACAAAAGTTTATTGTACTTATTTATTATTATAAAATATTTGAAACACAGAATATTAAACGTATTTCATATTTCTGTTATATGTATGTACAGATAACGTATATTCCTCCTTTTTGTTTAAACAGAAAGTAACTTCTGAAGAGAGAATATAACCTCTGGTTTAATGAGGTCAACTTTCCTGTTTGTCCTACTTTGGATTAACTGAAATTTGGGACTTGGAGGGGACACTGCTGTGTTAAAGCTTCTGTTAATTACCAGTACAGAGCATGTGAACATCCATTGTATTTTTATATTTTACAGCTGGTGTCTCTGAGACCCTAAACACAGGTAAAGCACCACTTTTTGTAGCAGATTCCTGAAACACGTCATCAGTTAAGCATTTTTTAAAAAGTTTCTCTTTATTCTTCTGCCTTCTGAAGCTGATGATTGGTGAATGCAGGAAACCATTCTCCTCCAGTCTTATTCTTCCACACAGTCACACAGCGTCACTACGACTCAGCTGCAGAATCGATCACCAGCTTCTGATTGGCTGCTTCTCTCTGTCTAAAGAAAGTGTTTGGCGACACAGTGGTAGAAACCCTCTCATGTGACTTTTTAAGAGAAAAGTGCCATGTGATGTTATTGTGGTCGCTTGTCAGATGATTGTGTGTCCTCGATTTTCTGATGGGGGACTTTGAATGGTGGTTCATTGTCAGAAACAGCCTTGAGCGCTGAAAGGACCTTGTGAGGTTCTGTGGAATTTCACATGGTGGAAGAAAAGAGAGACAGGAGAGTGGAGGAGGAATATTAAAAGCATCAGAGGAAAAAGGATCGCTAACTTTTTTGTTAGCACTTATAACTTTTGCTGCATCCTAATCTATGAAAACTAAACGTAAACATTGATTGCAGTCAAAGTTTACGACAGAAATACGATGACTAAAAAGTTACAAATGAAGTGAAATACAATTCTTTTTTGTGTCAAATAAAAAAAATCAGGAGGGAATAAGACTTTTTCTATATAACTGGGATCTCCTCTACCTGAAAAATGGCATTTTCATGTCTTTGTTAATTTATTCTTTCCGTCTCCAGCAAATCAGCCACACTCCAAAGTGTGCATGCACGCCTATCTCTTCCCATTCCCTGTGTCTCATCAGACCCACAATGCCACAGAGTACGATTCTGCTATAAGTAAGCATTTTCTTCCTATTTGTTAAGACTGTATTCCTCTGAAAGTTGCTCTTTGTGCAGGTGGCTGAATGTGCTTGTTTGTCCAGTCTACAGAGGCTTCTGGAGCATCTTCATGCTCATTGGTGTGGCAGCTGTGGTGCTCGGTGGGTTCATCATCATCTGTGCTGCTCCGTTCGCCAGCCACCGCCTCTATAAAGCAGGAGGAGGCCTCTTCCTGACATCGGGTGAGACTTTAAAAATTTGGTTTTATGCTACTCACACTATACATTTATTTGACAGTAATACTGTCACTACAACATTGGATTACTTTGTCTTTAAAACTGGATCCACCTTGACCAATACTAGGAAAATTGTGCTTAAAAATTGATTTATCAGGATCATCACATTTTAAAAGGTCATGTCTATTAAAATAATATCAAACAAACTGACACATTTTCTACAGAGTGACTTAATTTTAGAAAATTATGCACATTTAATTGATAATAATGATGTACTTCAACTTAAGTAAGATTATAAATGCTGGACTTTGACTTGCTGATGAAGAAAAAAACAAATATTTAGTTGTTTGATGAGAATGACTGATTTTCCTGGTGGCAAGCACAGCAGTAAACAAATAAAGAGTCTCAGCTGTTCTGACTTGAATATATGAGTTTATTATAACACTTGCAGTAAAACAGAAACATATTTAGCTATATTTGACCATATGGGACTGAACAGATGATAAGTATATAGACAATTCATTTTAGGATCACCATTATCTTGAAAGACTCGTATCGTATCTTCATCGTATCCTCATGCCAGAGAGAGCATGGCAGCTCCTAACACCAAACACAATCTAATCTACATACCAGATTTGCTGAAGAATACATACATGTCACACACAATATGAAAAGTTGTAGGTGATTCATTAAGTCATAAATTCCCAGACACTTGCATTGGTGAAATTTTATCTTTTTATGATGAGCATCTGAATAACACTGGTTAGATATTTGTTTTGTCCCCTGTTGTGGATCTACAGGTCAGTGTGTATAAATATATATATATACAGTATATAAGCATATAATTTCAGTCATTACATCTCGACCTGTGTTGTTCTTCTCTGTTCCAGGTATTTTCCTGCTGTGTGTGGTTGTGATGTACGTACTGTGGATGCAGGTGCTGGACGTAGTGGAAGTCTACATCAACCACCAGCGCTCGACGCTGTGTCCAAACTTCCAACTGTCCATCAGCTATGGTCTATCCTTCATGTTTGCCCCCATTGGCATCTTCTTCTGCCTCCTGTCTGGCCTTCTTTTCCTCCTCATCGGCAGAACCATCAAGATTCACTGTTGACTTGAACCCTGATATACGGTCTGGAGATGTTTCAGGGTTTTTTCTTTTCTTTTTTTGAACCCACATATCTTTACTCTTTTTGCTGCAGGAGCATTTAGATAGATCACAGCTTTGTGGTATAAATAATCTGACAAGTTTGGACATTTTGTTCAAGGATAAAAATATTGCTCATCTACTGTATTTTTGTATCATTATAATCTCTCCCTGCATTGAACTACATTCAACTGAGCTTTGTTCCCAGATAGCGTCTGTGGGCCACTTCAGGCAATGATGCAGCGCTTGTGGCCTCTTGTGGTCTCAACAAATTGGATGTGAGCCTAAAGTGGCTAAATAATGGCTATGGCTAACTTGTGGCCCAGATCTGGCAAAAAGGAGCGAACCGCCCATGTGCCATCATTCCATGCAGCATGTGGGCCGAATGTGGGCCGAACCTGGGCCATAACTATTTTGCTCTGTGGGTTACATATAGTGTTGTGCTATCTGTAGGTTGTAGATACAGTATAAATATCTGAGGTGCATAACACATAACTTTGAATGTTGTGTGTTGACGGTTATGAGGCTTATGAGTGTTTAGTTTTGAAATGCAAAAGTACCTGAAATTGAATGTTGATGAGAAAATATTTTGTTATTTAGAATATATTTTGTTTGCACGCGAAAATGTTCTCTGTTTGAACAAGTAATTATAAAATATATTTTTGCTTTGTACAGTATAAATGAATAAAACAATGAGCAAAATAGAATGCTTATAAGGTGGTATGATCATTCTATATGCAGTAAGAAGAAGTCAGCGTACTTAAAAAGAAACACAGAACTAATCTGTGTTCAGTTTAAATGATGAGGCTGATCCCATGAAAAGACTTCCCCAACCTCCACTTCGTCTGTTCAACTCCAAATCACAAATATATGCTTTCATCAGAACCTTTTACTAATCACAAAGTCAGGGTTTGATTTCTGCATCACAAGTCGTTCCTGAATGATGTGTGATAGTAAAATCGTTGCATATAGAAGCAGTGTATGAGTTTTTTTGAGTGGTCCATGAGACTGGAAAAGCTCTATATAAATACCATTTATATAATATGTGTACCATTCACTTGTTGGGAGCTATTTCTTCCTGCAGAATAAACACATAGTACACTCTGCTGATTTTTTTTAGCGGAACAGCTTCACCTCAGTTTACACTACAGAACCCACTTTCATGATGATGAAGGAACATCAAGTGCAACAATGATGTGTTTTTAATAATCTGAGCTCTATGGCACAGAGAAATACACTCACTCTCTTATTTGAATTTAGCATGTTTTTATTTTCATCTATATTGTATGTAAAGCACTTTGAGCTACATTACTTGCTATACAAATAAAGTGTTATATTATCATTATTATTATTATTATTATTATTATTATTATTATATTACTGGGTCTTTTTATGGGATTTTTTTCAAGAAATATATATAAAATCTAATAGGACTAAGATGTATAATCAAATATTTACATTTTCATTGAGTGTTTTGTTTTTATTACTACTTCTGTATATAGCCTGAAACTGTGCTGTTGTTTTGTCGTGTTTGTTTTTTTAAATTATTTTTTTTATGTTGCTTGTATGTAATTGTTTTATGTTGCTTTTTTCACTTAGTCCATCTTCACAGTGAGTTATAGCACAGTGTAATCTGAGATTCAAACATAACACAAAAATGTTTCTGTGATTTGTCTGCCAACAAAGAAAACATGGAGAAGATAAGCTTTGATTGGTAAAATAAAGAAGTATATTTCACATAAGAAACTAGAAAAGGGTTTGCATTGTTTAATACAGACCTTTCCAAAAGATAACTCTGCATGCATCTAAAATCATTATTGCAATTCTACAGAAGATTATGGAGAAGAGGCTCTTATCAGGAGAACACAACAGATGTGACTCTGAAATAGGGAAAATAATTTCCACATGTAATACATTTACTTCTTTGCTTCTATTTTGTCATCATACAGCCACAAATGTGATTGTTGTAACAAAGGCCTAGACAAATCCAACAGATTCCCCCAAAATTCCATCAGATGGCGCTCTTGTCTCACTTGAGCCACACGTCGACTTGCACCTTGAGAGGCACAAATCCCATTTTCTTATCTGGAGTCTATGTGGAGGGTATATGGCGTTATGCATTTAATCATAACTTCAGAGGGGCTGATCTGTAGATGAAAGAATTCACACCTTGGCTGACAGACGGACTGTAATTTCACTCATGAATGGAGCATTTGATCAGGATCTGAATGGACCCCTGTGTGGACTCTCATGTGTCTGTATCAACGCTGAGGCTTTATAATATACTTATCATACATAGGGAAATGCATCCGCGGTTGGAGAGTGACACAATGTGAGGCATTGATTACTGCGTGAGATTGACTTCGCCTTCGTAGTAGACTCTTGTGATGGAGATTCACACTTCCAAAATTTCTGAATTTCTTATTGCCGTCCACATGGGAGGAGTGGCCTCAGCAGAACTAGAAGCCACGTCGAGGTAAACCACTGCAGGTCAGACGAGGAGGCTGCAGAGGTTGGCAGATGCTAATAAATTGCAAGATAAGATCACAAGATTTGTCCTGTTTCATGTCCTCTCAGGAAGGTCTCCCAGAGAAAAGACATTTCTTATCTTGGTGGACTTCCTGGTTTAAATGAAATCCTATTAAGATGAAAAAAAAGGTTTAATCATTTCTCCATCCATATCCAAATGAGCATGTGTGTGAGAGGGTGAGTTTTAGAGCAGGTGAGGAGGAAGCCACCTCCAGGAGAAGCCTGGGCCTTGCAGTCAGTAATGTCATCAGAGTGGGAGTCCCAGCTGAATTCAGCACTGTTCTGCATGATTGCCCATGATAATTGTGTGTTGATAGGGAGCGCCGGAGATGGAGTATAATTTCCACCGAGAGATTCCTAAACAAATACCTGTGCTCAGCAGAGGGATGGAGTGCAGCAGGAGGTGAGGAGGAGAATAGCGGATGAGGGGAGATAGAGGATGAGAGGGTAATGCTTCCAGAGGAGGAGGAGGAAGAAGAAGGACGAAGGACAGACAGGAAGCAGCATTTTCAGTACAGGACCTTATAGTCAGTACATAGTGAAACCAGAGCAAGGTCCTTCAAGAGTAGAAGAGAATAAATCAAGATAGAATCCAATAGAACAGAGCAGAACACATTAAGGCAGAATACAACATAGCAGATCATAGCAGAACATAATAAAACAGAACAGAACACAATGAAATAGAGGAGAAAAGAAAAGAATAGAACATACTAAAACAGAATACAGTAAAGCAGAATAAAGCAAGCAGAAGTGAGTAGAATACAATGAAATAGAAAGAAACACAATAAAACAAATTAGACCATAACTCAAGACAATAGAACAGAGCAGAACAGAAGACAACGGAACAACACAAAATAAAACGCAACAGAACTCAACTTATTAAAACCGAACAGGAAGCAGGAAAAAGTTCAACAGGAAGATTGTTTGAGGGTCCTGAGAGCACAGGGGCTGTTTTCGAGGGGCCTGCAGACACAAGGGGGACTGTCCTCACTTTTCATTTTGGTTATTGGTTCAGAAGCCCATGTGTGTGCTGGTAATAATGACCTATATGTCTTTTGTCTGAAAGTGAAAACAAATCTATTTGTATCTGTTTGGAGAATCAAAGCTACGTATCTTTGGCCTCCGTCAGTGTACTGTATTTCCACGTGTCACTCCTGTGGTGGAATAAGCAGAAAGACGCTATGGGACATGTTGAAGTCCGTCACTGGTCTGGTGGAGAGCAGGAGATAAGTTTGACTCCCAGTCAACACTTGTATATTTAACCTTGAGGGAGGTTCAAGTTAATTGGAAGACACTCTTTGCCGCGGTGCTCTCACCTCACGGCACGTAGTGTAGTTATCATAGCTTATCTTCCAAATGTGTCCTAATCTCACAAGACATGCAAGTCAGACTACATTTAAATCTGATTACTTTCAACTCTCGGAAAAAAAGCAAAAGTATTTGAATTGCATGAACAATATGGCAAGTCATATTACACGCCGCTTTCCTCTTTAGAGATAGTTTTACATAATTTCCCATTCGTTTTGAAATAATGAATAGACAATGGGACGTATAATTGTGAGAATTTACAATTCAGAGGACCACGTCGTATAATCACTGCGCATAATTCAGAGAGTCGAGCACACAGGTCAGCGGTGGCAGCTTCACAGAAAGAAACTCAGGTTCTTCAAACAAACAGTCGAAAATCAACACTTTTATTCTCGCTCAGCTTGAAACGTCCCTTTCATGAGGCGTTCCTTCAGTATCATTCAGGAAATATAAAGAAGTACAAGCGGGGCATCCAATTATCTTTATACCCCGTGTATTTCCTTCGCAGCAGAGAGATTGTTTCAGTGGAGTCTGTGAGTTCAGAGGAGCTCAGTGATGTGTGAAGAGGCTTTGGCAGTAGAAAAATGGTTATTACCCCGTTGGCCGGTGGAAACGATACCTGTGCGGAGTGGATCCTTTCGGCCCCTCTAACATCCTCTGGCCTCACACCTCAGTTTGTGCATATAAATTACATTCCAAAGTGTGTATGGATGGCCCTCGTTCATACTCAAGGTCTCTCGTTTCAAAGGCATGCTAATGTCTCTCACAGTGAAACTCCTCTCAGCCGCTCTCTTTTAACTGCCGGGGCAACTGTGTAGGAGATGATTGGGACTCTTCAACCACATCTCTTCCTGAATATTCATACATTTTTAATGGCACGTAAAAATATATGTATACATATCCACAAATAGGAGACATTTCTTTCAAGAGTGGCTAACCCGGTGAAGATTCTTTCAATTTTAGCCGTAGCTGCTTTACCGCTTAATTTCTTTTGACTTAAAACATCGCTGTATGTGTCGGTTAACTAAAGTTAAATAGATAAGTGAATTTCAGTTGTGTCGTCCCATGCTTTCGTTTCAGATGCACAATGTGTTAGCACGCGCTCGTCACAAATTTTCTCACTTTTTAATTCTTTCTCTGGGATTGCTGCGCTCCGGCACCGCATGCTCCGGCTTCTTATTTGGTTTTAGCTCCCCCCTCGAGCAACTAATTAATGCTGCTGTACAAACAGCCGTCGGATTTGGTCATGAATATTCAAACGCACCACTTGCATATCATTTTTTATGCAGCGTTGTAACATAGGGCGTTAGTGAGGCACAGCGTCGGGGGTTTCAAAGCCGTTCGAGGTTTTTCTGTATCGTACCTTCTCTGTCCCAGTCTGAGAGGAAAGTCTGTCTCCAGTTATCTGACAAAGTGAGACTTAACTATGTGCTGAGCTGAAATGGGACATATTCATAAATGTTGCAGTTTTGACATTTACCAACTTCCTTACTTCACTCTCAATGTATTTGTGGCGCAAACATCTTAAACTGTGTTTTATAATTAACAGACTATAAAATACACTCTAAAATATAATATTTCTCAGCAAAATATGCAATTAATTTATCAAAATAAACTGCCAATTAAATAATTAGCTATTATTCAGTTGTTTAAAGTTCCAACTGTTGTTTATATCCTATATTTTTTCACAAAAGGGAAACAGGAAAAAGATTGATATCTTTCACTTAATGTACCTGTGTATTATTTATTTGAGCATTTTTTTGTAATTCATACACCCATATTCATAAACTCAAAGTACAATATATAAATATCACAGTTCAACCAGTAAATATCAACTTTTACTGAATTTAAAGTGAATAAAAATTGGACAGTTATATATTTTAAACCGCTCATTCCACATTCAACATGTCTCAACGGTGCAATAGAAATACTTGCTGTTCCGTTCTGTTGAACCACAATCCCTCACATGTTTATTTATGCCGTCTTACAAAAGGGCATTGTCATATTTGCTAGCCTTTAACATGTCAACATGTAAAAAAATAAACAGGCACAAGCACTGTTTATCATATTTAATAGACATGAATATACAATTCTACAATAGGTATTCAAATGATTTCTCCCCCTTTGTTTGACTCTTCATGTGAATTCATAAGAGTTGCTTAGTATGCAATCTCACTTCATTAGAGTAACATTTATGAAAATTATGTATTATGTATTGAAATCACAGCGACTCAAACACGGGCCTATTATTAACACTTGAACTACAT